ACCACAGCGCCGGGCCCTCACTCACGGTTTGATGCTGTTGTGGACTTCAGACCCAATGTTCCACACTCTTCATATGCAGATTCTCCTGGAGTAACTGACCACAGACTGTGAGGTGAAGAACCCTAAAAAGACAGAGTATTTAGAAAATGAAGTTAGTCAGGCTCCCTCACCCAGAAACTGATACAATTCTGCTACTTAACTATTTGGCTGCCTGCCAGTATTTGTAACGTGCTGGGGGAAGAGATGAGTGCAGATTTTTCACCGCAGGTGCCCTCTGTGTGCACTTCCCCAGGGCTGGGTGTTAGGCTGATCTGCGTGTGCGCCCACTTGTAGCAGGAAGGCCTCCTAACAGGAAGCAGTCTTCTACATAAGGCCCAGGTGGAATTCTTTTTAAACTTTTATTTAATGAATATAAATTTCCAAAGTACAGCTTATGGATTACAATAGCTTCCCCCCCATAATGTCCCTCCCACCCGCAACCCTCCCCTTTCCCACTCCCTCTCCCCTTCCATTCACATCAAGATTCATTTTTGATTCTCTTTATATACAGAAGATCAGTTTAGCATACATTAAGTAAAGATTTCAACAGTTTGCTCCCACACAGAAACATAAAGTGAAAAATACTGTTTGAGTACTAGTTATAGCATTAAATCTCAATGTACAGCACAATTAAGGACAAAGATCCTACATGAGGAGTAAGTGCACAGTGACTCCTGTTGTTGACTTAACAAATTGATACTCTTGTTTATGGCATCAGTAATCACCCTAGGCTCTTGTCATGAGCTGCCAAGGCTATGGAAGTCCCCTGAGTTCACTGACTCTGACCATATTTAGACAAGGCCAGGTCAAAGTGGAAGTTCTCTCCTCCCTTCAGAGAAAGGTACCTCCTTCTTTGATGACCCATTCTTTCCACTGGGATCTCACTCGTGGAGATTTTTCATTTAGGTTTTTTTTTTTCCCCAGAGTGTCTTGGCTTTCCATGCCTGAAATAGTCTCATGGGCATTCCAGCTGGATCCGCATGCCTTAAGGGCTGATTCTGAGGCCAGAGTGCTGTTTAGGACATCTGCCATTCTATGGGTCTGCTGTGTATCTCACTTCCCATGTTGGATCATTCTCTCCCTTTTTTATTCTATCAGCTAGTCTTTGCAGACACTATTCTTATTTATGTGATCCCTTTGGTTCTTAGTCCTATCATTATGATCAATTGTGAACAGAAATTGATCACTGGGGCTAGTGAGATGGCATTGGTACATGCCACCTTGATGGGATTGAATTCGAATCCCCTGGTATGTTTCTAACTCTACCGTTTGAGGTAAGTCATCTTGAGCATGTCCCGAATTGCACATCTCTTCCCTCTCTTATTCCCGCTCTTATATTTAACAGCAATCACTTTTCAGTTAAGTTTCAGCACTTAAGAAGAATTGTGTATTGATTACAGTATTCAACCAAAAGTATTAAGTAGAACAAACAAAAAAAATACTAAGAGGGATAACATATTAAGTTGCTCATCAACAGTCAGGGTGAGGGCTGATCAAGTCACCATTTCTCATAGTGTTCATTTCATTTTAACAGGTTTCCTTTTTGGTGCTCAGTTAGTTGTCACCTATCAAGAACAAGTGGTATTTGTCCCTTTGGGATTGGCTTATTTCACTCAGCATAATGTTTTCCAAATTCCTAACAGGGATCACTTTTCAGTTAAAATTTAAACACCTAAGAATAATTGTGTATTAATTACAGAGTTCAACCAATGGTACTAGAATAAAAAAAAAATACTAAAGTAGTCTTCTACATAAAGCCCAGGTGGAATTTCTTACCAAAATCCTGAGCTCTGAACAAAGAAGGGTTTTCCCTTGCATATGGTTTTAGCCTCCTTGTCTCCCTTACAGGGACTGGGAATTCTAATGTAACATGTCGGCCACAGGATGGATACATTACACATGGGAACAGAGTTACTGAAGATGTTTTCTTTCCACACTCTTACTTGTTGCAGCGGATTCATTTCTGGGAGGAGGAGCGTGGTGGTAGCAAGAGGCGCGGAGTCACCACCAGAACCCGAGAGTCAGGTGAAAGCAGGCCTGAGGCAAGCAGCCTGCAGACTCGTTTATTTCAGTTGGTACAGCAGCTTATATAGCCAAGGCAGCCAATCCCGTCAAGGGGCAGTCTATGCCCTAACCAATCACACCCTGTTGCCAGGTAGTTTCTGAAGCCATCCAATCACAGCCTGTTGCCAGAAAGACTCCGCTGTCATGTGGTTTCCAAAACCATGCAATCACAGCCTATTGCCGGGCAGTTTCTGTTGCCAGTGGTTATCTTGGCTCGGCCTTCTCATTCCACCACACTTACTGAGCTGTAAGCTGTCTGGCGAGGGTTAACATCATTGCATATTCTCTTAAAGTAGAACAGCCAGGACTAGAACCGGCGCCCATATGGGATACTGCTGTTGCGGCAGAGGCCGCTGCAGCAAGAATCAAGAGAAGCAGATCTGCAGTTAGCTCTGCAGTGGTTCTGCAGCCGGTCGGAAGCCAGACCTGATCTTCCTGGAGCACTCTCAAATTGTCCACAATAGCCAGAGCTGGGCCATGCCAAACGCAGGAGTCAGGAACTCAAGTTAGATTTCCCCGGTGGGTGGCGGGATCCAACCACTTGAGCCATCACCTACTGCCTCCTGACGTGTGCATTAGCAGGAAGGTGGAATCAGAGGCAAAGTGGGGACTTAAACCCAGGCAACTTGAAGAGAATCAATGAATCCAGCCCAAATGCATGTCGTCTCCTTTCTCCTGACTAGTTTACTGTAAAATGTTAACTTTATTGTTTTCTATGGCTGAATAATATCCCATTGTGTGAGAGAACATCAACAAGCTCATAGAAAGTGCACTATGAAAAAAAATGTGCATAGATTTCATACATTTTTGGCAGCCAAATAAGCATCTTTTATTTATTTATTTATTTATTTATTTTGGACAGGTAGAGTGGACAGTGAGAGAGAGAGACAGGGAGAAAGGTCTTCCTTTTCCGTTGGTTCACCCTCCAATGGCCGCTGCGGCCAGCGTGCAGCGGCCAGGGCACCGCGCTGATCCAAAGCCAGGAGCCAGGCGCCTCTCCTGGTCTCCCATGCGGGTGCAGGGCCCAAGGACCTGGGCCATCCTCCTCTGCACTCCCGGGCCACAGCAGAGAGCTGGCCTGGAAGAGGGGCAACCGGGACAGAATCCGGAGCCCCGACCGGGACTAGAACCCGGTGTGCCGGCACTGCAGGTGGAGGATTAGCCTATTGAGCCGCGGCGCTGGCCTTAACTTCATTTTCCATGAGCTCTTTGAAGTGTCCTCACATGGATACACCACAAGTTGTGCACCTGTTCACTCACTGATGAACATTCAGGGAATTTCCAATTTCGGTTATGACAAACAGTGGGTCTACGGATACACAAGCACATTTGAGTGCAGCCTGCACTGCACAACGTTTCAGTCAGTGAGAGCCCAGATACACAACAGTGACCTCATAGACCGTACCACCGAGGCACGCTGTAATCATCTTAGTTTTTGTAGTACATAGCATGGCATTTACACAGCCAAAGCTGCATGATGGTGGATTTCTCAGGACATAAAACTTTCATTCAGCAACGCATGAGTGTACTTGCTTTCAATTGTTCAGTTAATATTTCTAGATGTGGGACACCGGTCCATAAGGTATTTCTGTATTTAACTTTTTGAGAAAATCCCAAACTATTTTTCATAGCAGCTAGCTATGTATGTGTGAAGATTTTAATGTATTAAGTCTCTAATATCTTCACATCCTTTCCAATAATTATTTTCCCTTTCACAGTCTCCAACTGGGTGTGAAGTGGTATCTTCCTGGGTTTTTGATTTTCACTCCCCTAAGTGGACAGCTTTTCACATGCTTGGTGAAAATCTGTGTACATTCTGACAAAAAATGACTGTGAAGTTTGTACTTTTGTTTCCATCCTATAAAAGTTGTTTATATATTCTGAGTACTTGACAGAAATGGGTCTTCAACTCTGTGTGCTACCTTTCCATTTTTAAAAAATTATAAAATGTACTATAATTAACTGTACTTGGATCTCTTGAATTTATTTCTTCTGTTTAGCTGAAATTTTGTGTTCTATTAACCAAGATAAAGATATTCAAATATATATCTTTCTCCAAATTTGGAAGGATTTGTGTTTTTTTAAAAAAATAAGCTTTTTAATTCTTTATCATCCTCTTCTCCAGCTGGAGTTCCAAGAGTTGAATATACATATTTGCTCTTTTGACACATTTACACCATAAATGCTTGCTTTATTCTGATTCATTATTTTCTCCTCTGGCAGTGTAATTTCTTTTTCCCCATTTTTAATATTATTTATTTATTATTTTTCTCCTCTGGCAGTGTAATTTCTTTTTCCCCATTTTTAATATTATTTATTTATTATTTTTAAAGCTATTGGTTAATATCTTAGATTCTCGGGGTTACAGAAAATGAATAATTCCTACAACACAATTCTCATATTAATGTGACATTAATAAAAAGAAAACAGACTCCACGTAATTCATTGATACAATTATAAGAATAAAATGATTCTTCCCTCCCTCCGCTCAGGGGCGGGAAACCTCGGTCCCGCTCTGAGGTACCGGTGACGGACAGGCATGGCTCCGCCCCTTGTCCCGCCCCAGTAGCTCCCCGACCAATCGGCGGCCCGCGCCTCCCGGGGCGCCCCGCGCGGGTCTGACCTCCCCGACACGAGGGGCTCGCAGAGGGCGCGGCCGCGGCGAACAGCGCGTGAGGCGAGCGGGAGGCACCGACGGGAGCCGGGAAACCCTGAAACCCCCAGCCCAGCGCCTCACATCCCCTCCGCCTGAGAGACCCCGGATCCTGCCACCCCCTAACCTGATGGACCCCCACGGCCCTCAGCCGGGGACCGCGGGCGCGCCCCAAATCCCCAGCGCCTCACATCCCCTCCGCCTGAGAGACCCCGAATCCTGCCACCCCCTAAGCTGATGGGCCCCCAAGGCCCTCAGCCGGGGACGGCGGGCGCGCCCCAAATCCCCAGTGCCGGTCCCAAACCCCTCAGCCTGGGGGGACCCCTCAGCCCTCACCACAGAGACCCGGTTTCCCCACCGCGAGAGCCGCTCAGCCTGGAAACAACCCTGCGGCTTCCCAGGCCTCAGGAACCCCTCATGAGGGACCCCAAAACTCCTCGGCCCGAGACCCCAAACCTCGGCCTGAGAGACCCCAACCTCCGCCGCCTGTGGGGAAGTCCCTCCCTCTGACCGGCGGGGCCTGGACGGTCCACAGGGTCGCACCCGCCCCCCGTCCAGCCCCGCGACCTCGGGCGCCCCGCGTCTTCCCTGCACCACGAAGCGCCAGGGGGCAGGAGGGACGCGGCCTGCGAAGCGCCCGCCAGCCCCGGGGCTGCCCGCTGGTCCGCCCGCCCCGGCGCCGCCGCCCCGAGACGGGCCTGGCTCAGCGCCTTCTCTCCCGCAGGAGCCCTGGACGCAGACGGGAGTTGTGCGGGGCCCCGACCATGAGCGCCGCGGCTCCCGCGGAGCCGAGCCCGGGGGCAGACGCAGGCCAGGCGCGGGGGAAGCCGGAGGTGAGAGCCCGGGCCGCGCAGGGGTCAGCCCGGCGCGGGGAGGGCCCGACAGACGCTCCGGGCGGAAGACAGGCTGGCTCCGCGCTCCGCCGCGACTCGGGCGTCGCCCAGGGGATCCGGCGTCTTTCAGGTCCAAGATGCCTTCCGGGATATTTCCATCTACTTCTCCAAGGAAGAGTGGGCAGAGATGGGCGAGTGGGAGAAGAGCCGCTACCGGAACGTGAAGAGGAACTACTGCGCGCTGGTAGCCATAGGTACCCGGTCTGCGTGAACCCCTCGGTGCCTGCCTCTGCCCACCGTTCCCCTCTGCGCGGGGACGAATCTGGACGCGGAGTTTTGCAGTCTGGCCGTACAGAGCTCGCATCTGGACCTGGACTCTCCCAGTCCATCAGGCTTCGGGGTGCTTGTCCTGCCACCCCCTTTGTTCCTCCTCCCAGCTCTGCCCTCAGGGTGAAGATGTTGCTTCTTTCCAGGTCTCAGAGCCCCGCGACCGGCTTTCATGTGTCACCGAAGGCTCGCAGTCAGAGCCCGGGCGGATGACACTGAGGACTCCGACGAAGAATGGACGCCTAGGCAGCAAGGTGAGCGCCAGGAGGGGTCAGAGGCGACCGGAAACCAGTCTAGGGATCAGGCCCAGCAATGTCTCCAAGTTAGCAAAGGACACCTGTTACCTTCAGCACAGGGTGCAGCAAAACACCACTGCAGTTAGAGGCAACGTCGTAGAACAGCAGCTGTGTTATGTAGAGACAAGTGGTACATGTATGAAATCTGGAAGTGCATGAAATAGCAAATTCAGGGCAGCTTCGTTACTAGAAGGACGGACTGGCAGGTGGCTTCACGGTAGTTGGTTAGTTTTTTGCTTATCATTTTGAATTTTGTTTTTTGATTTTGAAATGAAGATAAAAGTATCTAAAGCAGCCAGGATTGGCTGAATGATGATAGATGCATAGATTTTTCAGTGTCACTCTCTATTTTCTCTATGTTTAAAATTTAACACATTTCTTTTAAAACTTATTTTTATTAAACATTGTTAATCAAGAGGCAATTAAAGAAATCTTAAATTGCACATCCTCCCAAAGGCTTCCTAAGACTAATCTCATAAGTTTGATTACTGAATTAAATGTTTTAGAAGAAGTAACATAATATATAATCTATCCATGTATACTTAATCACACCACCTCATACTGTCACCTAAGAATGAACCTGTTTTCATTCTTGGAAAAGATTTGAGAGAGCTGTTTAATTTCCCTGATCTTTCCAACAAGTCACCACAGTAGGCATCCTGGAAATAAAAAGATGTGTAATTGATATAGAAGTGAGCAGTTCATTTCCTCTTCTACTGCTTGGGCAGGACAGTTTAGAAGATAAAGTCGATCTTCCTGAACTGGAGAAAGCCAACTTGGATTAGGTCTATGGTTTCCCATCTATGGATTTCAGATTCCTTAGGCTGTCAAGAGTAGAGTAAGAGGTGTGAAAGCCCACTGTTTGGTTGCACACAAAGATTTCAACGTGAAAAGAAAGATTTTAGTGGGTATACCTCCATGGTTTACCACACATCTGTGCATCTTTTTCTGGACTCAGAAAGTTTCCACCTTACTACTCAATTTGTTTTTTTTTTTTTTTCATGTGATGAGAACTCACATAACACAACTGTACCCTAATGGTTTTAACAGTTTTAAGTGTTCAGTGTTGTTAATTATATGTACATTATTGTGCAACAGAGCTTTCAAACTGTTTCATCATACATGACTGAAAGTGTACTTGAATAACCACCCCCATTTCCTCCTTCCCCTATGGACTGAAATCAGCAATCGTGTTGGAGAATCAGAAAGTCAAAGTGAGGATTCAAGCACACAAACTTCTGTTTGGTTACAAATTTTACACATGTCTTACAGGGCTGGTGTGTGCATTGAGTAGGGTTTAAACAAAATAGATTTATGTCATGGTTACCGATCAGATTTAAAAATCAAGGAGAGATACAGCAAGTTACAGTCTGGGTTTTTTATTAAGGGAGCACACTACAGTCTCAGGTTCTGATGTTGCCTCCATGCAGGGAGAGGCAAACAATGCTTTTGTTAATCATTTTTCCTATAAAGGCCCTAAAACAGAAGGCTTACTCCTGCTTAAGTTACAGCAGATGTTTCCTGTGTCATAGTTCAAAAGCTGTGTTGCAGCTGAGGAGCTGAGTGCATGGTATCCTGCAGCAAAGACAGTGTCCTGATGACTTATGCCTCTTCAGTCCCCTTTCATGCTCAAGTCTGCATCCAAGACCCTTGAAAACACAACTCTACTCTGTTTCTATGAATTTCATGACTTTAGATACCTCATATAGGTGAAATCACCTATTTGTCTTTGTGTGTATTTGTTTTTTTGTGACAGGCTTACTTTACTTACTAAAATGTCAAAGATTTATCCATGTTGTAGCATGTGGCAAGATTTCTTTCAAGTCCTCAATCCATTTTGAATTAATTTTTGTACAGTCATCCCTCAGTATCAACCCAGGTTCAGTTAAGTTTGTTTTTAAGTATTTTATTCTTTTTGATGCTGTTGAAGAGGAGGTTCCTTTCTTAATTTCCTTTTGGGATTTTTCATTGTTAGTGTACAGAAGCACAACTGAGTTTTTTTAAAGATTTGTCTATTGTTATTTTTTATTTGAAAGGAAGAATTACAGAAAGGGAGGGAGGGAGAGGGCGAGATCGTCTGACCACTGATGCACTCCCCAGATGGCCACAGAAAGCATTGTTATGTCACATCTGCCCCGGCCCGCGGGGTAATCAACTAGGACATGAGGAGGGCAGACCTGAATGGAGAGACAAACCAGACACGAGAAGGGAGACCAAGACAGTACTCTGATCAAGGTCTCAACTTTATTGGAGAAGGAGGTGGCTCATATAGTATAAGGCAAGAATTGTACAGTCGAGGGTAAGCAGAAGTCATCTCACAACATAGATCAAAGGAATAATTTCACAGGAACCAGTATCAATTTGACAAAGGGAGTTACAGCGAGGTCTTACAGCTGCCAGACGTGCTTATCGAGGTACAAGAAAGAGCACTGAAGCCAGAAGGCCAAACGCTAATCATATCAGTGAGTTGTACAAATGGAATTTTCTAGTGAATCCTCCTTACAGGAACACAGCTGAAGGTTAGTTTAAACAAAGGCCTATACAGGGAAACCAGCACAGTGGCTCCCAACAACATCAGGATCATATTTGGAATCATCACTCTACTCTCTGGCTCAGAATTCTTTCTCTAATGAGGATTTCCAAAGTTTTGAAACATTTACCAACCAACACTGATTTGTTGTCACCTTCCAGTCAAACCTCCTTGGATGGCCTTCAGAACGGAACACAGCAAACACCAGAAGGTGAGTATCTCCCAGATCCCTTTCACTAGAAAAATTTTTCTTATGGGCCCATCACGGGCAAGAGAAGAAGGCACAGCGTATACTAGGAGCTGCCATTTCCTCTCCGGGTCTCTTTAACATAATGTCTGACAGCATCACGGAGAGGAAGTAAGAATGGCAAAATAATCACTACCACTTGTTTTGTTTTCATAGTATTTCAGGCCTTATTTTTAAGCATTTTACGTGAATAAACCCATTTAAACCTTCCAAGAACCCTGTGAGGCAGGTACTAAAATATACTAGTTTTATAGATGAGGAATCTGAGGCACAGAAATGTTGAGTTATGTGCTTGAGATTACAGTGAGTGGTTGTATAATCCAACCCAAAACTCCTCATCAAGAGCGCTTCCAAGCTCATTAGCACTTTCATAGCTTTGCAAAGTTTGTGCTTTTTTAATCACACATGTTTACATCATTCTTCTGATTATCTCAGTCTGTTTTTCTCTGCCGTAGTAAAGTGAGAGATGCATTAAGCAGTCTGAATAAAGGAAGCTTATAAAGATACAGGCAGTTTGTACTGTGAGTGGTCCAAATGAAGAATGAGAAGGGGTCCCCACCTCATAAGGGACCCGTTCTGATAAGAAGAAGCAGTTCCAAGCCCTGAGGAGTTTTGGGTTTCCTGATTGAGAATCAGGAAGTGAGATAATGACTTCAAGTTTCAGATAGGTTCATATATTCAGTAGAAATGTATCTTCTGCAACTAATTTCAAATCCTCATTCCTGAAGGAGGAAATGACAGCCTCTTCCTCTGAGCTCTATTTAGGCAACTTATTTTTTTTTTTGTTTGGAATTATTTATTTGGCCTGTTGCCTCTGCATTATGAATTGAGAGCCCAGTTCATTCCAATTCTTCTCTCTCTCTCTTTAAATATTTATTTATTTGAAAGTCAGAGTTGCACTCAGAGAGAAGGAGAGGCAGAGAGAAAGAGAGGTCTTCCATCCACTGGTTCACTCCCCAGTTGGCCGCAACGGCCAGAGCTGTGCCAATCCGAAGCCAGAAGCCAGGAGCTCCCTCCAGGTCTCCCACGTGGGTGCAGGAGCCCAAGGACTTGGGCCATCTTCTACTGCTTTCCTAGGCATAGCAGAGAGCTGGATTGGAAGTGGAGCAGCCAGGTCTCGAACTGGCGCCATATGGGATGCCGGCACTGCAGGTAGCAGCTTTACCCGCTACACCACAGCGCCAGCCCCCAATTCTTCTCAGAGCCATAAAGAACCTCTCACTGTTTTCTGGGAGACTGATTCAAAATTTTACTAATTAAACAAGTAGTAATAGGTCCAAGGAATGCTGAAGATAAAATCTTTGAGTCAGATTTCAACTTTAAAGATTATTGAAGAGGTAAATTGATAACAGGACTGTAGGAAAAATTATTAATCTCACATTCGTGCCATATTCAATAGCTCATAATGAACATTACCATATCACATGTATATCAGTTTACAGATCAAGAAAAGAAGCTGAAGAGAATTAACTAATGGTATACCCTGATTCAACAGAATTGACACAGACACCCATGAATTGCACAGTCAAATATTATTCTCAGGATATTGCAATTTGCAGATTGAGCACGATGCTCCATTTCCACCAGTCTCACTGCTTCCACGTCCTCCCAGCCTCACTGATGCACACTCATGTTCCAGGTCTATTTTATGCCCTCTCTGCTCTTCTACGTTTCCCCTTCCACCAGATGTCGACTGGTTTATGGGAGATAGCTTCCTTTTCTCTATAAGCCCTTCTGCCTTCTTTCACAGACTTTGTCTGTTCTCTAGCTCATCTTCCCAAGTATTCACTCTCCCTCACTTGCATCTGTACAGAAGAAACTGAAAACCAGTTGGAGAGAAAGAGCCTTAAGGCATAGGTTCTAGCCCTGGATTCAGTGAGAGATTCTTCATGGCTCTAAGAATTGGGGGCTGGCGCTGTGGTGTAGCAGGTAAAACTGCCACCTGCAGTGCCGGCATCCCATATGGGCGTCAGTTCGAGACCTGGCTGCTCCACTTCCAATCCAGCTTTCTGATATGGTCTAGGAAAGCAGTAGAAGATGGCCCAAGTCCTTGGGCTCCTGCACCCACGTGGGAGACCTGGAGGGAGCTCCTGGCTTCTGGCTTCGGATTGGCACAGCTCTGGCCGTTGCGGCCAACTGGGGAGTGAACCAGTGGATGGAAGACCTCTCTTTCTCTCTCTCTGCCTCTCCTTCTCTCTGAGTGCAACTCTGACTTTCAAATAAATAGATATTTAAAAACACCCACTTAGATGTTGCTTTTCCCTCAAGTATTCACACATTAGATATTTCCAGAGACGATGAAGCACTAAATAAAGTCATGTGTGTGAAAACACACTGCAAGCCCTAAGGAACTAAAGAAATGAAAATTATCTTTTTAATGTGACTCTTACATTAAAGGGGATGCCCAGGTTGCCTGTAAATAATGAATCTAGTTTGAAGGAATTGTCAGGAATAGCAAATTTGCTGAACACAACTGGCTCAGAGGAGGACCAGAAACCATCGTTCCCTCCTAAAGAAACGAGGACGTCTGGACAGCACTCCACACGAAAATTGGGTAAAGCGAAAGTACTTTGGCGACTTCAGTTCCTCCAGGCCCTCTGGATGAAGGCTGATGAGGATGACTGAGATATGTGGGGCATACTTTGAATGGGTCTGGACTTATGCTGGATTAAGCTAGGAGACCAAAAATTGATTGTAATATTGAATAGCAGGTGAACACATTAATTCTGAATTCACGTACTTGGGTTATAGTCCACACAAAGTATTGGAGCCTTTGAGAAATCATAAATTCTCTGAGCTCCTGAGTGCTAACATGCAAAATGAGGATAAGGATACATAGCTCATATACAACAATTTCCCAGACAGGAAATCAGTTGGCCTAGTAGTGAAGACGCCCATGTCTGGCTCTGCTGCTGACGCCAGCTTCATGCTGATATAACCCCGGGACACAGTGATGACTCAAGTGAGTGGGTTCTTGCCATCCATGTGAGAGAGCTGGCTTGAGTTCCCTGCTCCCAGCTTTGGCTGCTACTGCAGCTGTTTAGGGAGTGAAGCAGTGGATGGCAGCTTGCCCTTTCACTTCCTCTCTCTGTCTCTCTTTGCCTCTTAAATTAACAATTTTTTAAAAGTTCATGGAAAAGGAATTAAAACCTAAGTTTATTTCAGTGAAAAACCATTTTTTAAATCCATGCGGTTTTTCTGTGAACTCTTTGAAGACACTTCATATTATTTGAAAGCATTAAAAAATAAAATAATTGATACATGCAAGGTGGCCAATAAATTGATCTTTGATGGTACAAGCCACATTTTCTTAGTGAGATATGTCTAGGCCTCTGCTCAATACTTAATATGTACTATATCCTCAAAAATGTTTTATGAATGAACAAAGTGTTTTTATAAGTATAAATGCTGAGAGATTAAATCTGCTGGTGGGAATTTAAGTTAGAAACTTAAATTCAGTTAGACATTGTCATTTGGTAAGTGTGGAGCCTTGGTCTCTCTGAGCCAATATTTAAGGGCAGGAGATGAGGTAGCGGGAAGATATGTAAAAGCATAGGTGATAATTTGATGATAGGAGGTTTCACATTTTCAGATAAAGCAGGAATGAACATTCTGTACTCCTAACTTCACTCACCTACTCTCTCCAACTCAGGACTTAGAAGGAAGAATATTGAAGTGAAGATGTACAGCTTTCGAAAAAGAAAGAGTCAGGCATACAAAGAGTGCAGTGAGCCTCAGGATGACGATTACCTCTGTAAGTGATCCTCTGGCCCACTCACACTCAAGGCTCCTATGTCCTGACTCAAAATTCATCTCATCATTTGGCCCCACTTCGTCCCTTTCCTCTTATAACTTGGAGTGCAAGATTGAGGCTGGGGGCCAGCGCCGTGACTCAGTTGGTTAATCCTTCGCCTGCGGCGCTGGCATCCCATATGGGCGCTGAGTTCTAGTCCTGGTTGTTCCTCTTCCAGTCCAGCTCTCTGCTGTGGCCTGGGAAGGCAGTGAAAGATGGCCCAAGTGCTTGGGCCCCTTGCACCCATGTGGGAGACCAGGAGGAGGCGCCTGGCTCCTGGCGTACTGCCCGCCGTAGTGGCCATTACAGGGGAGAACCAACGGAAGGAAGACCTTTCTGTCTCTCTCACTGTCTGTCACTCTGCCTATCAAATATATAAATAAATAAATAAAAGATTGAGGCTAAATGATGTGAGTGCTGGGCTGTTCCTGAAGCTCTCTATACCCAGCAACAAGTAGTATACTTTTACTAATCCTTGCTGCTCTCCTCTCCAGATTGTGAGAAGTGTCAGAACTTCTTCCTAGACAGCTGTGCTGTTCACGGACCACCCATATTTGTAAAGGACAGTGCAGTGGACAAGGGGCATCCCAATCGCTCAGTCCTCAGCCTGCCCCCTGGGCTAAGAATTGGACCATCAGGCATCCCTGAGGCTGGGCTTGGAGTATGGAACGAGGCATCAGATCTGCCACTGGGTCTGCACTTTGGTCCCTACGAGGGCCAGATCACAGAAGAGGAGGAGGCAGCCAACAGCGGGTACTCCTGGCTGGTGAGAAGTGCTTCCCTCGCCTGTCTTCTGGCTCCCCACATCCCTTCTGTGCCTTTGGTGGGATGTCTCCTCCCACGTATTAGGACATAGATGGGGACAACATGATTAGCTCACTCAGCAGTCTTTGCACAGATGTGGAACTCCTGTGTAAAGATGGCAGGTTACGACAGAGCAGGGCAATAAGAGACAAAGCAGGTGTCCTCCCTGTGGTCCTCTGCTCTGACTATAAATCAACTCAGATGTCTACTGATGAGCAGGAGCACAACATGTGGTCACAACTCGTGTCTGAATCCGTGTAAGCCCAAAGAGCACTGATGACAGCTGAGTAAAGTAATTCTGAATTCTTCCCACTCCAGGGAGAGTTTAACTTATTTTTCTGAAATTCAGATCACCAAGGGGAGAAACTGCTATGAGTATGTGGATGGAAAGGATAGATCTTGGGCCAACTGGATGAGGTAAGGCCCAGAGCAAGTCACGTTCTGGGAGGACGCTTCTCTCTCACAAGCTGAGATTCCTTTCCTTCTCCTTACGCCTCCCTCAGTGACCCCATGCTCCTCGGTTTTCTCCAGACACTGCTCTTCAATATCATGGCCATTTTTAAAAAGATATAAAATATAAATACTATATCTTTTATCAAAACATAAATCTATATGCTAGACACAAGGGGGCACAAGGATAAGCTTTGAGGAGCCTAGATCTACTGGCTACTCACCCTTTGTCTAATCAACATTTATTAAGCACTTCCTGTGTGGAAAATGGATTTCAATACCTGGACAGCCCATGAAACCTGTGTCCTTAACTATAATTTTCCCATTATTTGGAGAAGTGCACAGTGCCTGAACAACTTAAAGCACAGGAAGTCGGCCGGCGCCACGGCTCACTAGGCTAATCCTCCGCCTGCGGCGCCGGCACTCCAGGTTCTAGTCTCAGTTGGGGTGCCGGTTCTGTCCCGGTTGCTCCTCTTCCAGTCCAACTCTCTGCTGTGGCCCGGGAAGGCAGTGGAGGATGGCCCAAGTGCTTGGGCCCTGCACCCGCATGGGATACCAGGAGGAAGCGCCTGGCTCCTGGCTTCAGATAGGCGCAGCGTGCCGGCTGTGGCGGCCATTTGGGGGTGAACCAATGAAAGGAAGACCTTTCTCTCTGTCTCTCTCTCACACTGTCCACTCTGCCTGTCAAAAAAAAAAGGGAAGTTTTCCCAGCCACAGTGAAATCGAAACTGGATTCTGGAGACTGGTGTTATAGTGCAGCAGGTTGAGCCACTGCCTGTGATGCCAGCATCCCACATGAATGCTGGTTTGAATCCCAGCTACTCCACTTCCCATCCAGCTCCCTGCTAATGTACCCAGGAAAGCAGCGGAGGATGGCCCAAGATTTTGGACCCCTGCACCTACCCTGGCTGTTGCAGCCATTTGAGGAGTAAGCCAGCGGATTCATTATCATTCCCTTTCTTTTCCACCGCCGCCCATCACTCTGCCTTTCAAATAAATATGAATAAATATTTTTTAAAGGGTGGGGTTCTGAATCCAGCGGAGAAGTGAGCTGTGGCAGGGCCATGGGTCTCTGCCGAGTGCCCCAACCCTGCTCTGCTCTGTAAGGGGCTCCCCCTTCATCAGGGGATAGGGAAATTGAATAACGAGGACATTGGCCGTTTCTGTGGGAACCTGGGAAGGTAGAGGAATGGCATCTGGGTACTGTGAGGAGATTAAAGGAAGGCAGACTTCAGCCAGTGCCTCTCTGGAGGCAAAGAGCAGGCTCACACGGCAAGTTCTGTGGCACCAAACAGAAATTAGTTTGGAGTTTGGAGAAGCTAGGCATCACTGTACTTTGTGGCCAGTCAAGGTGGAAGTCTGGACTGGGTTTTTAAATGGTTAATTAGGAAAGAGAGAAAAGCATGCTTGGCAGGATGAGCACTACAAATAGGACTTGGAACTGGGAACTCACTGACCTTGTGAGAGAAACCTGGGCAGAAACAGAAGGTTCTCCCTAGGTACAAATAGGACTTGGAACAGGGAACTCACTGACCTTGTGAGAGAAACCTGGGTAAAAACAGAAGGCTCTCCCTGGATACAAACAAGACTTGGAACAGGGAACTCACTAACCTTGTGGAAGAGACCTGGGCAGAAACAGAAGGTTCTCCCTGGGGCAGGGGTGGGGGGAACCAAGGGGGAGGGTGGAGGCCTGGCCATCATGTGATGAGTTAGACTCAAATCTGACATGGAATGGGAACTCAGCATCTGTCTCCACCTCAGGTATGTGAACTGTGCCCGGAATGACGAGGAGCAGAACCTGGTGGCCTTTCAGTACCACAAGCAGATATTCTACCGCACCTGCCAGGTCATCAAGCCTGGCTGTGAGCTGCTGGTCTGGTATGGGGACGAATATGGCCAGGAGCTGGGGATCAAGTGGGGCAGCAAGTGGAAGGAAGAGCTCACAGCAGGGAGAGGTAGGTAGCACTATTGTTCTTTAAAATGAAAGAAAAGAAGCATTCTTCATGGGAATTTTTGTGGTTCAACTCTAAATAGATCAAATGTAATATAAAGTCAGTCAAATTTCACATCAGGTGTTTTTTAAATTAAGAATTCTTTTTTGAATATTTATTTATTCATTTGAAAGGTAAAGTTACAGAGAGAAGGAGATGGAGAGACAGAGATCTTCCATTCACTGGTTCACTCCCCAAATGGCTGCACCAGCTGGGGCTGGACCAGGCTGAAGCCAGAAGCCTGGAATCCATCGGAGTCGCACAGGGGTGCAGAGCCCCGAGCACATGGGCCATCTTCCGTTGCTGTCCCAGGTCCATTGCCAGGGAGCTGGACGAAGTGGAGCAGCCAGGATTCAAACCAGCAAGCATATCAGTATCGCAGGCAGCAACTTAACCCATTGTGCCACAACACTAGCTCTTACAGATTTAAAGATTCATTTTATGGGGCTGGCACTGTGGTGTAGTGGGTAAAGCCACAGCCTGCAGTGTCAGCATCCATTTATGGGGGCCGGATCAAGACCTAGCTGTTTCACTTCAGATCCAGCTCCCTGCTATGGCCTGGGAAAGCAGTAGAAGATGGCCCAAGTGCTTGGGCCCCGGCAACCACATGGAGACCTGGAAGAAGCTCCTGGCTCCTGGCTTCAGATGAGCGCAGCTCTGGCCATTGTGGCCATTTGGGGAATGAACCAGTGGATGGAAGATCTCTCTTTGCTTCTGCCTCTGTCTCTTTGTAACTCTGCCTTTCAAATAAATAAATATAAAAATTTCATTTTATATGTCTTTGACTCTTGGAAGCAACTGTTATATTTCAATTTTTTTCTGTTTTTATATTTTAAGTACTTTATGCATAAAATGTCCCACAGCACACTGCGTTGAAAGTGTCCAAGGCAAAAAGGACTTCTTTGGCACCTGCCAGCTCTCTCATCAAGGAAGGTTCTTCTGCTCTTTTAGCTGTTTCTTTTTTTTTTTTTTTAGATTGATTTATTTATTTGAAAGTCAGAGTTACACAGAAAGAGAAGGAGAGGCAGAGAGAGAGAAAGAGAGAGAGAGGTCTTCTATCTGCTGGTTCACTCCCCAGATGGCCACAATGTTTGGAGCTGCACCGATCTGAAGCCAGGAGCCAGGAGCTTCCCCTAGATGTTCTTGAATTTTTAAAAAAAGATTTGTTTCTTTATTTGATAGGCAGAGTTACAGAGAGAGATGGAGAGACAGAGAGCTTCTAACTGTTGGTTCACTTCCCAAAAGGCCACAATAACTGGGGCTGGGTCAGGTCAAAACCAGGAGCTTCTTGGTCTCCCACATGGGTGGCAGGGGCCCAGACACTCGGACCATCTTCCACTGCTTTCCCAGTGGAAAGATGGGAGGATCAGGGAACTGGATCCAGCAGGGAGCTGGATCAGAAGTGAAGCAGCAGGGACTCCAACAGGCACCCATATGGGATGCCAGCACTGCAGGCCATGGCTTAACCACTGTACCACAGCACCAGCCCCTAGATTTTTTTTTTTTTGAGTGAGATGAAGACAGCTGTGGAGGTTTGAGTTCTGTGTTCTGAGATGATGCTGTGGTCAGCTTTCAGAAAACAGAGTGTTGAGGGTGACCCCTTCAGAGCGTGTACCTGAGTGAAGCTGGGATCAGAGAGGTGAGAAGTCTGATACAAGATGTATTTTTCTATCAGGACTTCGTACTGCAAGGGAAATGGGCAAATGCTGAATAAAATAAGTTAGGAATGAATGGCGTGAGGCCTGAGGACATGTTTTCACTTTGTGATTTGCAAAGCACTAACAAACAATTCATGGCCTAGTTGAGGCAGCAAAACCCAGAGTCCTTCAGTCCCTGGAACCTGGATGCTCTCTTGCCCAGCCTGAGTTCCACCTCCCAGTGAGATCAGGCACGTGAGCCCTCTTTCTGAATGGAGAGACTAAAACACGGATCTACTCTCAGGTGCTCTCTTAAACACTATGTGACTTCCACATTTGTGTGTCTCAAGGGTGAGTGACTCCCAACTTAATAGATCCCTTTCTCTTCAACGGGAATGTCATGAGAGAAAATCCACCCTAAGTGACCAGTGTAGTTGTTTCTCAACAGAATAAAATAGCCATAGACATGTCAGGAAAAGTGACCTCCCCATGTGAGCGGAGGAAGGTACAGCAGATGATCAGGGAGGGTCCAATGAAGAAAGCATCTGGGATGTGGGTAGAGGTCTCTGGAACCCCAGCTATGACACAGTGAAGTTGCAGGATGCTACTTGAAAACCCTTAGTCTTAGGGCTGGCACTGTGGAATAGTAGGTAAAGCTGCTGCCTGCAGTGCCGGCATCCCATATGGGTGCCAGTTCGAGACCCGGCTGTACCACTTCCGACCCAGCTCTCTGCTATGGCCTAGGAAAGCAGTAGAAGATGGCCCAAGTCCTTGGGCCCCTGCACCCATGTGGGAGACCCAGAGGAAGCTCCTGGCTTCGGATCAGCTCCGGCCGTTGTGGCCAATTGGAGAGTGAACCAGCAGATGGAAGACTTTTCTCTCTCTCTCTCTGCCTCTCCTCTCTCTGTGTAACTCTGACTTTCAAATAAATACATAAATCTTAAAAATAAAAAAGCCCTTAGTCTGGCCGATACGTAGAAAAGGCCTCTGATGTGGGCTTTCTGGATATCTGAAGATGTAGAGAAAAATAGAATGAAAAAAAAAATACACCATACAGGAATGCTTGGGTTGCTAACATGTACAGAACAAATAGTGGAGCTGGCCTCACTCATGGCAATGCAGATGGCCAGCCTGCTTGTCTGTTTCTGCCCTAACCAAAAACCTCCTCTTTCGGCAGAGCCAAAGCCAGAAATCCATCCCTGTCCCTCGTGCTCTCTGGCCTTCTCCAGTCACAAGTTCCTCAGTCAACACATGGAGTGCAGTCACTCCTCTCAGATCTTCCCAGGAGCACCTGCAAGAAATCACCTGCAACCAGCGAATCCCTGTCCAGGGAAAGAGCATCAGAAGCTGTCTGATCCACAGAGCTGGAATGACAAAAACGAAGGTCAAGATGTCAAAGAAAAGTCCAGATTCTCGTCCAAAAGGACAAGGCAGAAGGCGATCTCAAGGTCTTTTTCCAGCCTTCCCAAAGGACAAGTGGAGACCTCAAGGGAGGGTGAGAGAATGATAGAGGAAGAGCCTAGAATAGGCCAAGAACTGAATCCAGAGGACACAGGCAAATCATCTGTGGGGGCAGGGCTGTCACGAATTGCAGGAGTCAAGTATAGAGATTGTAGGCAAGGCCTCAGTGACAAGTCACACCTCATTAATGGCCAGAGAGCACACACAGGGGAGAAGCCCTATGCTTGCAGGGAGTGTGGGCAAAGCTTCACAGTGAAGTCAAACCTCATCAGTCACCAGAGGACACACACAGGGGAGAAGCCCTATGCTTGCAGGGAGTGTGGGCGAGGCTTCACGCAGAAGTCACACCTCATCAGGCACCAGAGGACACACACAGGGGAGAAGCCCTATGCTTGCAGGGAGTGTGGGCAAAGCTTCACGTGGAAGTCAAACCTCATCAGTCACCAGAGGACACACACAGGGGAGAAGCCCTATGCTTGCAGGGTGGATGAGTAAATCAGGGGGAAAAAATCACATTTCAGCAACTACGGGGGACAAGTGTGGCCACCACACACCTCCACACTGCAGCTCAGAGAGGTCTTCCAAAGTCTGCTGACTCCTTACCTTCCTCAATAGTGCAGAGATCAGAAATAACTGATTCAACATCCCTCCACTTTTATGAGATGAGTTAGAAAAACAGGAGAGTTGCCTGAGTGTTCATGGGCTGTTGACTTGTGTTTGTTTCCCACACCGATCCCGTTTTGCTTTATTTGTTTCTTTATTTCTTGGTCTCTTCTAATAAATTTTGTCTCCATGCAAATCTGAAGCCCAAGCACATGCCTTATTCTGCTCTTACTAAGGACAAGAGTTCCAGCTCAGGTCTCTACAGGAATTTAGCCCTGAAAAGCTGTGAGCCTGCAGTCACTCTGGCTAAATTACTGGAGGATCAGCTCAGGGCTCTGGGAAAGAAACCCAGGAACTGATACACAGTCAGGGCCAGGAAGGGGTTGTCTGTCTCCTGGAGTGTGGCTGCTTCCGCCTGGCCTCCACTCTGAGATCCTCCTACCTCGGCTTCTCCTGGCTCCTTTCCTGCTGTCTCCAGCCTCTGCACCCTCAGAGGCAAAAGCCAGAGACATGTTTGTGTGTGTGTGTGTGTGTGTGTGTGTGTGTGTGTGTGTTGGGGGGAGTGCAGGTGTGGTGCATCTGCATATTTGTACCTTGCATGTCTGTGTGGGTGTATGTGTCCCTGCATGTGTGCACAAGTATTTGTGTGCCCTCTTGGAGGCACCAATTACCCCCTTCCTCTGGGTCCTGTGGAGGAGGGGCCAAGGGTCCTGGGACAGAAAAGACCCCAATAGGGTCTTTTAGCCCCTTTTAGCCTCGAGCTGTGCTGATGGGGGCTGGGGAGTGTCAGTGAGGAGAGGCCCACTAGCTTGTGGGTAGCCCCGTCCCCAACTCATGAATCCACACATGTGGGCACTGCATTAGTGTGGGGACAATGGTTGCTCTCATGAGAGGCGTGGAAAACCAGGGAGGAGCAGCAGCCAGTTCCAGGGCCCGTCCCAGGCAACACCGCTGGAAGTGGGGTATGTGGGGGGGGGGGCGGTGGCATTGCCTTGGCCACCAGCAGAGAACCTGGACTGTGTTACCAGGGGGGGTTTCAGCAGGGGTGGCTCCAGATCACTCCTGGCACCTGCCACCTCTAGCATGTGGTCTTCATGGAAAAAGGATAAGGACTCAAAAGATCCCCAGGGAAGGTGCTAGGGCTGGGGGCCAGGAGAGGCAAGAGAGAGTCTGGAGAGGCCAGCAAGTGTCCCGAATCAGTGGACTTTGTCAAGCAGGGAAGCCGGGAGTCCATTTGGGGTAGGGCCTGAGGGAACTGCAGGAGGAGGTGTCCAGGACCCTTCAGCATGACTGAGAGCTCACAGTAAACAGGGACCCCAGACTCCTCCTCTGCCTGCACCGGGGCCTTGCAGCCCAGGCAAGCGTCTGTGCCGGATCCACCTGCTGCTCCCGGCTACCTGCAGGGCAGGAGGGTAAGCACAGGGTCGTGTGCCAGATAATGAGAGTCCTGTGGCCCCATCATGGGCTCTTGTCCCGACTGACATCCACAAGCAGACCACCAGTGAAGCTGCCCATGTCCAAGCTATGACACAGCTGTCTGTGACCAGCCCCATTGGAGATCTCCTGGCCCAGACCAGAAGTACCAAATAGCCAACTTGGAGAATCAAGGGTATGTGGATGGTGGTTGTTTCACACTGTAAAAGTTTCCAGTGTTTTTTAGAACAGCCCTTAACTCCCTTGCCTCTCTCACTTTGCCTTTTTCCATACTGCTTAAAACCAGTTCTGGGGCCAGGGCTGTGGCATAGTGGGTAAAGCCACCTCCTACAGTGCCGGCATCCCATACGGACGCTGGTTCTAGTCCCGGCTGCTCCACTTCCGATCCAGCTCTCTGCTATGGCCTGGGAAAGCAGTAGGAGATGGCCCAAGTCCTTGGGCCCCTGCACCCACATGGGAGACCTGGAAGAAGCTCCTGGCTCCTGGCTTTAGATTGATCCAGCTCCAGGTGTTGCAGCCAATTGGGGAGTGACCCAAAGGATGGAAGACCTTTCTCACTCTCTCACTCTTATTCTCGCTCTCACTCTCTCTGACTCTTCTGCTCTCTGTGTAACTCTTTCAAATAAATAAATCAATCTTAAAAAAAAAAAAAAAGAAAGAAACAGCTCTCTTCTTGTCCTGCACCGGCACCCCTGCAGAAAAATGTGGCCTGAGCTCCAGTGACAAGGGGCCTGTGATGTCCTTCCTCTCACCCTCACTGCTTGTCACACATTCCTCACTTCTGTCCTCAAACTGCCAGCAGTTCCTCTCCTCCTCCGTCAGCCAGTGCCCTGGCTCCTGCTGCACCAGAGCTGTCCTCCACACCTCGCCATGAGCTGACCTCATCTGAAGCCAGTCCTGCACCTGGGGCAGGAAGCCAAGCCTTCCTCACCCACTCAAGGTGCTGCCGCAGGAACCTCAGCTGCCTCTCACATCCCCAGGTTCCCCTCTTGGGTTACTCCCGTCGCAAGATAACCTACCTGATTCCTCTCAAATGCTCTTGACACGGTGCCATCAGCTGCTTTTCTCCCCTTTGCAACAACTCTACTTGAAGATCTGTCTGGAGCTGGTGCTGAGGCACAGCAGGTTAATGCCCTGGCCTGAAGTGCCAGCATCCCATATGGGCGCCGGTTTGAGACCCAGCTGCTCCACTTCCGACCCAGCTCTCTGCTATGACCTAGGAAAGCAGTAGGAGATGGCCCAAGTCCTTGGGCTCCTGTATTCATGTGGGATACCCTGAAGAAGCTCCTGGCTCCTGGCTTTGGATCGGCGCAGCTCTGGCTGTTGTGGCTAATTGGGGAGTGAACCAATGGAGGGAAGACCTCACTCTCTCTCTCTGTAACTCTGACTTTCAAATACATAAATAAATCTTTAAAAAAGAAAAAAAGAAAGACCTGCCTGCACTCAGCCACCAGAGCTGCTCCTGGATTTGTACCAGTTTCTTCCCTGACCCCAACAGGCCGCCTCCTCAAGGTTTCCAGTGACCTCCAGAGCGGCCTCAGCCTACCTGAGTCCAGGCCCCCACACTCCCCTGCTCCACCCTGTGCCGCACCTTCCCAGCCCCTCTGTTGAGCGCCCCTTCCCTCCCAGCTGCTCAACCTTGACTGTTCTGTATGCAATACATCCTGCCACTGTGACACTGTCAGTGAGAAAAACACTTCTTTCCAGCTTGTGGGGAAATTTTTCACCAATAAAAGGCCCAGAGATTCACTAACATTCTCAAGGAGAAAATCTATGAGTTCAGAGCCCCTGACTATTCAGGAAATGAATTGTTAATAAGGCCTTGGGCTGGCTCCCAGCCAGCCTGCACATTTGCTAGCCCACATTCTCACACACAAGGCCTGCCCATAAGGGGCACTGTTCTCAGAATGGCTTCTGCCCCTCCCAGCTTGTCCTGAACACAGGAATACTGTCCAGGCAGTTTTGTTTCCTTGGCAAAGATCTGACTGCTGTCCTGAATCTGGATTGGGAAGGCGAGGCTTCTGCTCGCATCCTGGAGAACGGGCTGCTGGGGTTTGGGACCACCACGCTGAGCTCTTGACACTTCCTTGAGGGCAGCAGTCCAGTGAGTGATGCAAGCGGCCAGTTCCGTGTGTGCCTGTGGAATACCATGGAGGATGCTTGCCTGTGTTTGTTGCTGTCAAGCCTGGGGTTAGAATTCAGAGAACTTCAGTCAACATGTTGGCTACAAACACATTGATTACATTTAGAATGCAGGGACAGTTACAGGACACTTAGCACACACTAGAAAGCTGATTTAAAAGACACCCAGAGGGGCTGGTGCTGTGGCGTAGCAGGTAAAGCCACCACCTGCAGTGCCAGCATCCCATATGGGCACCAGTTCGAGTCCTGGCTGCTCCACTTCCAATCCAGCTCTCTGCTATGGCCTGGGAAAGCAGTGGAGGATGGCCCAAGTCCTTGGGCCCTGCACCCACGTGGGAGACCTGGAGGGAGCTCCTGGCTCCTAGCTTCAGATTGGCCTAGCTCTGGCCATTGAGACCATCTGGGGAGTGAACCAGCGAATCAAAGATATTCTCTCTCTCTCTCTGCCTCTGCCTCTGCCTCTGCCTCTCTGTAACTCTGCCTTTCAAATAAATATATAGATCTTAAAAAAAAAAAAAAAGACACCAGGAGCCAGAGTAAAGTTGCTGTCTTTTCACACAATTAAGTCAGTGCTCATTGGATGCAGACTGTGACAAGTTAAAGGGGGCATAACTACAAAATAGCTCAAGGGCATACTTTAAAAAATTATTTAAAGCAAAGTAAGGATAAAAGAGAAATAAGTATCTAAAATAATGTAAATCAAATAACAAAATATCACATTTGAGCCGGCGCTGTGGCTCAATAGGCTAATCCTCCACCTTGCGGCGCCGGCACACCGGGTTCTAGTCCCGGTTGGGGCGCCGGATTCTGTCCCGGTTGCCCCTCTTCCAGGCCAGCTCTCTGCTATGGCCAGGGAGTGCAGTGGAGGATGGCCCAGGTGCTTGGGCCCTGCACCCCATGGGAGACCAGGAAAAGCACCTGGATCCTGGCTCCTGCCAGGATCAGCGCGGTGCGCCGGCTGCAGCGGCGGCCATTGGAGGGTGAACCAACGGCAAAGGAAGACCTTTCTCTCTGTCTCTCTCTCTCACTGTCCACTCTGCCTGTCAAAAAAAAAAAAAAAAAAAATATCACATTTAAATCCAACCATATCGGTCAGTGCCATGGCTCACTTGGCTAATCCTCCGCCTGCGGTGCCGGCACCCCAGGTTCTAGTCCTGGTTGGGGCTCCGGGTACTAGTCCTGGTTGGGGTGCCAGATTCTGTCCCGGTTGCTCCTCTTCCAGTCCAGCTCTCTGCTGTGTCCCAGGAGGGCAGTGGAGGATGGCCCAAGTGCTTGGGTCCCTGCACCCGCATGGGACACCAGGAGGAAGCATCTGGCTCCTGGCTTCAGATCAGCGCAGTGCCAGCCATAGCAGCCATTAGAGGAGTGAACCAACAGAAGGAAGACCTCTCTCTCTGTCTCTCTCTCTCTCTCTCTCTCTCTCTGTCTCTCTCACTGTCTAACTCTGCCTGCCCCCCCCCTAAAAAAAAACCATATCAATAATTCCATTAAATACAAATGAATTAATTTTCTAGTCAAAAGATGGTGGTTATCAGAGTAGATACAAAAGCAAGATCCAACTATAGGATATATAAAAAAAGATACACATCACAACTATGTTAAAAGTAAAAGAATAGAAAATATGTACCGGGGCCAGCGCTGTGGCACAGCAGGTTAATGTCCTGGCCTGGGGCGCCGGCATCCAGATGGGCGCCAGTTCTAGTCCCAGCTGCTCTTCTTCTGATCCAGCTCTCTGCTGTGGCCTGGGAAAGCA